TAACTGGGCCCAGGTGGTAAATGAGGCCAATGAACAGCAGCTGTGTCCTGGGGAGAGAGAAGAGCAAGAGAGAGACAGAGGGGTGGAGCAAGAGAGGAAGAGGCGGAGAGAAAACACCACACCCACACAAGGGCAGTTTCAGGAGGCCCAGCTAGGGCCGTAACAATACTCATTAAATTTTTCAGTGACTCCTGAGAGCCTGCCCTGTGTTTTTGTGCTCTTCACTCATCTGTTTAGGTTTCTGCTCTAATAATTATTAAATTTTTTAATAGCATACAAAAATATAGGCACACCAGTATAAAGTAGCACACCACTCAAATTTAAGAATGGACACATTTATTCATATGGCTTAGAATGAACCTGTTGGTGAGATTTAATAATCTGATTCCAAAATAAGATCTCCAAGACCTGAGGCTGCGATGTCACACGGTCGCACGGTGCAGAAAAAAGAGCCTCTCTAATGACTGCGAAAAAGAACAGCAATTAATATTTTAGTGCCTAAACTACGATAGTCTTGTGAGTTTTCTATTATGGTGGCGCATTTAAATACACCACGAGTCACAGGAAACCTTCAGTGGGCTACTGCTACAGAAAAAAACCCTATTTTCGGTGTACCATGTACGTCAGTGTGACATCACTGTCCTCGTTTAAATGGAGGACACAGTGCCAAATGTTCATTATTACAAATGGAGCTGTCCTCAGTGTCATATCACATTCCAAAGCTGACATTCAGCGGTTTTCCCTGCAAGATTATCAGAAGCTTTCTCAGTTCTTTGCTGGAATGGACCAGCAGCAAAATCTTGCTTTTTCTGACACAGTGATGTCTTTTGGACAAAACTTCTTCTGTGGCATCGCTGTCTCCATTTGAGAGTCACATCTCGATTACTTGTCATCTGTGCAAATGAACATCTAATAAGCCTCTTCTTCAACATCTTTGATTTGCGGGCATTTCATAATTATGTTTAAAATTTATTCCTGTTCGTTTTTCAATCTTTTTAAAAAAAAACATTTTTGACAATACACCAATTTGACCACAAGCCGAAAAGCAGCAGATGAAAACATGAAAAAAAGAATGAATTGGTTTCTTTTTCACTAAAAAAAGAAAAGAAAAGATAAGCACACACACACCATGTAAGACCCAGGAAATGTGCTGCTTTAAAATTATTTGACTTGTACTGTAAGTTTTGGACAGACGAGCATAACACAGACTCAGCACACATGCGACATCCAGGTCAGCACAAATTTACAAGGGTCACCGCATCAGTGAAACCAACGTACAACGTTTGCGGTATCTCATATCTGTCAACCGCAAGATGGATGGGACACAAGTATAGATTTACTTATGGTCAAATCTGTCAAAAAAATTGGAAATAAAACAAGCATGCAATCATACTTTGGCAAAAAAACAATAAAAAAAAAAAGCAAAAAAATAAACAAACCCCAACTGCTTCTTGGCAAAAAAGAAAATAAAACGATCAGCTTCTTGAGCACATTGCCCTTCGCTGGTCAGGAGCAGCCTCATAATGGATGAGCAGCTTTATCTTTAACAGGCCAATCTTCATGTCTTCATGACAGAACAGAGACGAATGTGTTAAAATCCATGTCTGTCACATCAGTCACTTTGTGTTGTGTGTCGAAACTCGTCAGGAGCACTAAAGAGCATCCCAGTCCAGTCCCTTCATACAAGTCATTGTGGGGGATTCAGCCTATATCCTGACCACAGCTGGATAAAACAGGAGGAGGAGGAGGAGAGACTGGATGTACTGCACATATGCATCCACACACACGCACTCACATTCAGCCCTCTCATTTTTCCATGTGGTTGTCTCCACCCTCTCCGCTTGTTCTACATCACGTTTTCAAACAGCTGCATGGATCTCATCATAGTTTCATCCTGTTGAGAAATAAGACAAATGGTGTATGGAATTATTTTGAATACCTGTGTCTGTGAAATGAAATCATCTGATGGATTGTGGTTTTTCTTATGCTTGACTTTTGACATAAAAAATTTTAAGTAATGGTGAAATTATGTAGGCCTATTTACACTTTACGCTATTTACACTATTAACACTGCATGTATTCAGGCTAATATACACCACTGAGTCCTTCTCTAAAAAAGGGCCAGATTTAACAATGTCTGTGAATCTGGATTAAAAAAAAGTGTTTAAAGTTTTTATAACATGTATAGTGCCATCTTGCACCAGTACATAACATGATGTCAGTGCGTTAGTTGGTTGCTGCTGATCGCTAATATAATTTAATGTAAGTCTAACTACTAAAAGAACCAATAACTCAATAGAAAACGAAGAAACAAAATCTAAAAAGCAATCTAAAAGAGTCACTTTAGTTTTATGTTTAAATAACAGAGGATATACTGTTCACATTCACTCTTTCAAACAGTAAGTGGCTTTTAATTGTTAGCTAGCTGCAATGAAATGGGAAAATCCACCTGTTAGCCGTAATGTTAGCGTTCATAGACCACTTTATGAATGAGGACTGTGTGGAGGAGAGGCTGTTTGAGTCAGGTGTAGTGGTGGTTTCACGACTAGAATAACAGGCTTAAGTAAGAAACTAGTTGCTTTTTTATGCATATTATATTTTAATTCTTTAAAATATAATTCATTTGACAAAAACACATGAAGAAGAATACTGACCTCTTGGCAGGCTACAATGAACTCCTCCAAAGTCACCACGCCATCTTTGTTCTTATCCATTTTCTGTAGAGAAAAAGTTGTTTTTATTTTGTTGATTCTGTTCTGGTGGCATTGCCTTGCATCCTAACCCTAATGAAACAACCTAATAATGACTACAAAGCTGCTATAAACCAACAAAGGTTTCTTGGGAAGTTACGGGGTTATGACAAGAGACATTAAAAGTCTGCTTTCCTTTCATAATGTGTAAACACTAGGGTTTATAAACCTTACGAGACTGAAAAATGTAGTTAAGTTGAAAGTGTGAAAAAAACTCCATAAAGGGAGTTGATCCAATTTAAACAAATAGTATGGCTTGTTGTCTGTAATTTTGTAGTAATCTGTAAATCTGTAAATTTTATTGTCAATTCTTACTGTCATTTAATGGTCGGGCATTGCACAGCAATAAGCATTTCACCAAACATCATATGGTTGTGTGTGCGACAAATAAAATTTGAATTTGAATTTGAAATGAACCTGAAAAAAGGCATCCACATGCTGCTGTGGAACGTCTCCCTTCAGTGCAGGGTAGGTGTACTTGCCCATCATGTCATATATGGCCCTCACAATCTCAGTCATTTCCTGCAAGAAGAGGAGATTCATGTCATGCTTAGACAAAGATTTGAGATAGCAAATAATATCCAGTTAAAACTGTAACAACACAGTCTCACCTCTCTGTTTATGTATCCATCTCTGTTGATGTCATACAGGTGAAACGTCCACTCCAGCTTTTCCCGTAGTGTTCCCCTCAGCAGAATAGATAGTCCCATTACAAAATCCTGTCCAAAATAGATCAGGGAAGAGGGAAAGCATAAATTAAAAAAGAGCAGAAAATTAAAGAAATAACTAACATTTTGTCCATTTTTGTACCTTAAACTTTATGGAACCATTGTTTGCAGTGTCAAAAGCGTTGAACAGATAATGCGCATACATGCTTGCATCTGTAACACACACGGAAGAAAAGTGTAAAAAAAAGAAAAGCTTCATAGTGCAATAAAAAAGATTAAAAACTGTGTACTTTACCTCCATGAGGAAAGAACTGTGCATAAATGTGTTTAAAAGTCTCCTCATTCACAACTCCACTTGGACATTCCTGTGGAAGAAAGGAGACTCTACAGTTCTTCTACTCAATGAAAATTTGGTTGTCTGATGATGTGATGCACACATATACTATATTGCCAAAAGTATTCACTTGTCTGCCTTCACATGCATATGTACATAACTGACATCTCATTTTTAATCCATGGTATTTAATATTATGTAGCAATAGCAACTTAAACTCTTCTGGAAGGGTTTTCAACAAGACTTAGGAGTGTGTTTATGGGAAGGTTTGACCATTCTTTCCAGAAGTGCAATTGTGAGGTCAGACACTGATGTTGGATGAGGAGGCCTGGCTTGAATTCTTTGCTCTAATTCATCCCAAAGGTGTTCTGGCAGGTTGAGATTAGGTTGAGATACAGACCAGTCAAGTTCTTCTACAACAAACTTGCTCAGTCTTGTCTTTAAGGACTTTGCTTTGTGCACTGGTGCGCAGTCATGTTGAAACAGAAAAGGTCATCCCCAAACTGTTCCCACAACATTGAGTTTCTTTCACTTAAAACAAAAAGGATGAGCCCCACTCCTGAAACCCCCTCCCCCGCAAACTTTACACCTTGCACAATGCAGTCAGACAAGTACTGCTCTCCTGGCAACCACCAAACCCAGTATTATCCATTGGATTGGAGAAGCATGATTTCTCAGTCCAAAGAACATGAAGCACTTTGTGCGCTTTACTTGAGCAAAGGCCACATGAAGCACATGTGCAGTTGATTCCACAGAAAATTACCGACCTCTGCTCAATATGCACCTCAGTCTCGCTGACCCCACTCTCTAATTTTATGCGGCTTACCACTTAATGAGTTGCTGTCATTCCCAATCTCTTCCATTTTGTCATAGTACCACTAGCAGTTAACTGTGAAATATTTAGTAGTGAGGAAATTTCACAACTGGACATTTTGCACAGTACCAGAGCTCCTGAGAGCAACTCATTCTTTCACAAATATTTTTAGAAGCCGTCTGCATGCCTATGTGCTTGATGCTATACACCTGTGGCCATGGAAGTGATTGGAACACTTCAATGCCTCAGTGATTTGGAGAGGTGTAAGAATACTTAGAATGGAATAGAACAGAGTTTTGGCAATATAGTGCATTTTAGTATGACTGCATTTTTTACAATAACAATATCTGGTGTGTGCTTACATTTTTAAAACCACGATAGAGGATCTGCAGTTCCTGTTTGGTGAAGTTTGTTTGGGCTTCGAGTTGCTCAAGTCCTTCTGGTCTGTGGCACACCATCGTCATCTCAAGCTCATCATCTGTTTTATCTACAGGGAAGGGTAAGAGAGAGGCAGTTTAAAAAAAGAAGATGTATTTGAGCCTCAACATTTACACGCTGTCTGTTTAACAGTATGTCCCACTCAGGATTTAGAAATATGATGGCTTTTAAATACAGGAAAGAGATGACTCAGCGAAGCTTGAAAATGTTAAGTCGGCAACGGATGTTGTGGGATCAAAGAGAATAAAAAAGTGCTTCTGGGAGTGAAGCAGAAGAAAAATAAGGGAGGATGAGGGAAAAAGAGAACAAAGGAAGGATTTGTGGAGAACTTCATCTACTTGACAAATTAGGTTTCCCCTTAGGAGCTGAAGCATTTTATTAATGGCAACATGGTGCTCAGTGCCCAGTCCTGTGGAGATGGATGGTGGTTAATGATCTGAAGAGATGCTGCTGTGGGCAAGTGTTTGTCACTGTGACTATCTCATGTTACAGGGCAGCGGCTTTACAAACATGGACAAATATCCAGAAGAAAACTCCCAGTGGCTGTTGTGGGCCCCGGTGAAGAAAAATCTGAAGTCCGACGCTTTGTGTGAGGTATAGAGATGGCCTATTTACAAAGGGTGGTCTGTGGCTTGAAATGCATTGTTGAGACTGCAGGTATTATTAAATGATATGTCCTTGAATGAATTGTTTTGACACAAAAGTGTGGACAAAGCACACTATCAATTCCCAGAATTTCTCAATCACCTATGTTATTAACTTGAAAAACACACGTGAGAACAAATAAGCTTCCCAATGGATTCAGACTCAGTTCAGATGATTAGACACGAAGAAAAGGAGATTAACATGACTACATTGTTGTTCTTCTTCTTTTTGGATGGTAGTGATGACTCATTCATTTCAGCCCATTCATGAGTGGTGTCAGGATTAATCCTCAACAATGAAACTGTATCAAGTAGCATACATCATTATGCCAGAGGCCATTGTGATTTAAATTTTAAACAGGAAACAGGAGAAGAGGCACAGCTATAGAACTGCCTGCAGCCACATTCTCGGTCGTAACAGGTGCAATCTTCATTTAAGTCCCACCTACACCAGGGGGGAAAGCAATTACCGGCTCTTCATTGACTTTTGAGTGGGAGAGACGATCCTTGTCAATTCTGTCTGCTAGTGAAAAATAGAAAACTTACTTAAACGCTCTGTGTGAAATGGACTACAGACTGATTACAGAACCCAGAATAGGTTTTTATGAATTTCTAAACTGAAAAACTGTGACTTTAAGGAGAAATAAACTTCTAGGAAAATCCCGTGACTAGGAAATGTAGTGAAACTGTGGGATCCTAACAGTCATATACGGAACATGTCAAATAAGTCGATAATGCCAAAATTTCAGCTTATGTCCATACCATAAGCTAAGCAGGGTCAGGCCTGGTTAGTAGTTGGATATGCAATGTGTTAGTTAGTGCTGTTGCCTCATAGGAAAAAGGTTCTGGTTCAAATCCACCATTTAGCCAGGGCCTTTCTGTGTGCTGATTGCATTTTATCCCTTTGTTTGTCTGGGTTCTCTCTGGCTTCTCCCACAATCCAAAGACATCCAGTTAGTGGGGTCAGGTTAATTGGTGCTTCTAAATTTCCCATAGGTGTTAGTGAGAATATTGTCTTTCTGTCTGTGTTAGTTCGGTGACAGACTGAGAACCTGACCATGGTGCACCCTGCCTTTTGCCCTTGGATGGCTAGGATAGGCTCCAAGCTCCCTCACAACCCTGAATTAAATAAATGAAAAGATGGACGGATGTCGGTTTTAGTCCACTACATTTCTGCAAAATGAGGTAACAAACTTTCAGAAAGCTGTATGTAACATTACTATGCATGTAAGTGCTTTAGCTAACAACAGTGGCTTGCTACTGTTGTTAGCTAAAAGTTTTTATTTAGTTTTTATCTTTTTTTATTCAGAAAGGAGAATTATTCATGGTATGTTCATTGGTAGAGGAAGATTGAAAAGCTGTTGGCCAATAAGTGTGCACTTTCACAGTGAGATCCATCCCTTGCTTGTCACTTCCAGTTTCAAACAACAAGATGGTGAGACCAAAAATGCTCATCTCAAGGCTTAAAAATGGATGTCTCTGAAGGTACACCCATCTGCTACGCTGTTTAGTATTTCTAATAGATAGCTAACATTAATTTTATAATAGCTATGTAGATACAAGGTGCTAAAAAAGTCCTAGATTAACAAGCTAAATCTAACATTTTAGCCAGCTAGTTGCACTTGTATAAGCATGCCAGCTTTATTTTTAATATTGTGATGCTAACTTTATTCTCCTGTATTTTCTCCTGTGTTTCATTTAGTAAAAACATGCACTAAAGGTTTAAATACTGCTTACATCTGGACAGGATGGTTGACACAGCTATAAAAACTGTTAGGGAGTAGTCATTTCAATGAGATTTTCCACATGCTTGGGAAACTATAGCAATAAAATGTTCACTTGAGACACACATGTTGCCTCTTACCCCAATCTGCCACTTTTACATGGCCTATTTGTCAGTGGTGAGATAGCATGGTGTCCATTACCATGCAAACATATAATGCGTTACTTTCTCTCAATCTCCCTTCCATCTTCCCCTGAGCTCCAGTTCCAACCCACTGACTCATGTTGTCATGGAGATAGATAGCCATAATAAATGCGAGCAGTGGTGGTATACTGGATCAACCATTTTTTAAAGGTGTCAAACACAATTTGTACATATATTTTCCCTGTGACTAAAAGTCTCTCGGTTACTTGAAAACAGAAAGACAAAGGTGCTGTTAAGACTCCACCTATGTGGACTAATCTTTCCTGTGGGCTGATTTCTCTTTCCTGTTAATGTGACAGTGTGATTAGAAACAGATGAAATGGAATGAGGGTGATGAAAAGGCAGAGGTGTTGATTAGAGAAAGCTGAGACAGGACTGGGAGGAGAGGAAGGAAGAGGTGGCAGAGCGTGAAGAAAAACAAGAGACAAGAAGGAGAACAGCAAAGGGCAAAATGGGAAAACACAGAATAACATCGAGAAGAAACGAGAGCTGAACTGGGCTCAGAAGCACAGTCAGCAAAAGAATATGTTGCCTGAGGATTTCAAAAACCTGTTGAATATATCATATCATATAACAGAATGATTTGATCGCAGAGTAAGACTCAGACAAAGAAATGCTGCAGACTTTTGCAGTGAGTCTTGTTATAAATGGTGCAACAACTGCTCTGCATGTGATCACTCATTAGCATGTAATGGAAGAAGGTGGGAGACGCTGAAATGGTGCTGATAATTGAAAGTGCGTGTACATGCTTTCTTACGCAGTCAGTGGCAAACACTGCAGCACTAATGAAAATGAAGGTCATGTAGAAGTCTATGGGAAAATTACTCTTGGTTTTCCTTATAAATTTATGGTCTTAATCACTAGTTTCAAGTCATAGTTGAATCTAACATGATCTATCACATCATCTTGTAAAGTATGTCCTATAGGCTGATGTTATATTTTGATTAGGAAGTTACTACCATATGAGTGTGCAGTGTCCCTCAGATCTGCCTCCTTCTCATCACATCTGGTTTTAGAAACACCAAGATCAAGGCAGACACTTTTTACAGTTCTGCATGCTTTGACTTTGGCATGATCTTGCTTTCTTCTTCCCTTTTTTCTTCTTTCGTCCTCTTAACTTCATGGAAGCAGCTGACTGCCCAAACAGCTAGCCTTGTTCCAAATATAATCATCCTACCAGTTTATCTAAAGCCTGCTACTTATGAGATTATATCTGGTTTCTTTAATCCAGCAGCCTTCTGGTGTCTGTAGCCATGAGGACAAAAGTTGAAGAAGTCACTGAGCCGGGTCAAAATCATAGTCCCCTACGTGATTCCTCACAAAACCCACAGCAGGCTGTTTGGTTTTGCTTTGTACAAAAGCTGACTGGGCTTTGGAAGTGTTGAATGCTGCAGGAAGAGTGAGGAGAACTGTTTCCCCTACCGTGTTGTGTGGACAAGCCCCCCCAATCCTAAGAACACATTTTGACCTGAATGTTTTTCTTGATTTGCGACAGCAATCTCTCTGCGTGTTTCAAAGTTTTGTTGAAAGTTTATACAGGACCTTTTTCAAGACAAACCAGGT